AACTTGAAAACACTGAAGAGCACTAAGGTGAAAGATCTTAGCTGTTGGCCACTAATGTGTACGGTTCTCTCTCAAGCTGAAGGAGTCTCAAAGGCTTCCGGGATTTTCTTAGGTCGCTGTACCAAACCAAGACGTGGTGACATTAGTGGTTAAACGCCTCTTGATGGCCCAGTGTGGACCAGGCCCTGGGAAAGCACCCAATGTGTTTGATCTCGTCCATCTTCGATCATTGTAGTACTCTGCGATCGGGGCTGGGAGAGGCTGAGTCTCAGGTGGGTGACCAGCTAATCACTGGTGACTGTGGGATCCGGTCCGGTTGCATGGCTGTAGAAAGTACTGTCACTGGCGCCCCATTTTGGACCGCCTGGGGGATCTCTCCCAGGTGTCCTCCCTGCCCGGGAAGCGGCTGACAGAAGACTGTCGCTGTCACTGCTGGTGCACTGGGTTTAGCCAGCCTGGCCCCCGAGCCCTGGCGGGTGGAGCCTCGAGCTCGAGCTCGGTCCCCTGGGGTCTGAGGCCCACATTCCTCCGAGGTCTGCAAAGGCCTCCGCGTAGAGGCGCAGAGGAGCAGCTGGGAACGAGAACAAAGCGGCCAGGCCCCCCTCGGAGGAAGGAAGGAGTGAGCCCCAGGAAACAGCTGATAACGCTAAGCTCAGCTTGTTTTTTTCCTCTGCTCAACAGTTCTCCTGCCACGGCAAACAAAAGATGTACATTCTGATTCCCTCTTCTGTTTGGATTGTGCTGTCGACTGGGTCTGGTTTGTGATGAGCTGGGGGAAGAGGCAGCCGCGGGCGGTTTCTGGCCCCGCTGGCTGGCCAGTGCGCTGGGAATGGCAGAGCTGCCTCTCCCTAAGCCGGTCCGGCGTCACCAGGGGCCCCGGCATGGGCATTTCTTTTAATGATGGAATTTGAAGTTCCAAGTTTTCAGATTTAGTAAGAGCTGAAGGTTTACCTGTGACCCTGACCTTAAAGGACCTGTGCACCTGCACTGGACGCACCTTTTTCGTGGACTGTAAAATTGTCAAGGTGAGAGCTGTACCCTCGACGGCCCACTGAGGGCCGCTCCCTGGGCCCCACCCCACCCCTAGATCACAGTAAATCTGGGACGACACTGAGTGAGAGCCCCGCCAGCCTGGGCCCTGCCACTGGCTCCCATGGTCCCTAGCTGAGAGTGGCAACAACCAAGCAGGTCAGTGGAAGCCAGGGTCCAACAGCAGGGTCTTAACCCCACCCACAGTGGCACCTTCCTGGACAGATTTGACATGCACAGGTGACAGGTAGCCCCCAGACATTAGCATCCTCCGGAGCCTACTGAACTAAAGGGACCGTTTGCTGTCCCATGTGGAGTGATAGAAGTGGGGTGCAGACATTGCCTGGCTTCCTACACCTGTGAGGTCCCTGCAGATGTGGTGCAATGCTGGTGTACTTCGTTTTGCCTGATCCGGTGTTGACTGTGTAGATCTGCCAAAGGGCACCCCCAAAACCGAGAGCAAAACAAAATGAAGAAGGAGAAATCAAAGATAAACCACACAAAAAAACCCTCTGCTAAGAAGTCTATGGCTATTGCCTCTTGGGTGATCCCTGCAGCCCTGATGATGGCAGTTCTGCTCACACAGCAGGAAAGAGACCCATGAGCAGGGGCCCTTGGTAGCTGCAGGAGTTAAAGGAGCAGCAAGAGGTCAGTGTAGTTGGGCCCTGCCCCATGCCGCTTGGCAAGGGCTCTCCTCCCACCTCCCCGAGGAGGCAGTTCACACGCAGAAGACAAATGGCATAAGGGCAGGCAATTAATTTTTTCAGCTGGAGGCCGAGATGGAATGTGGGTGCTTAGCGTCTGGCATAAGTCTCTAATTCCATTCCCCTCTGTGAAATACCTTCGCTTCTCAAGGAGTGGATGCCTTCCAAAGTCCATGCCGGACGTTTTCTGCGTTTAGGATCAAAAGGTGAATTTAGTTGAGAAAATCATTTGGAATGAATCTAAGGCTACTCTGTGCACTGCCTCGAGCTCTTGCCATGACACCAGGGACCAGAATGCCGTGCGGTGGGGGACAATTCTTCATATATTTCCTGGAGGGAGGAGAAGGGTTGTCCAGAGCACAGTTCCCATTGCATGACCTTATTGGGATCTAAATTACAGCAAACAAACTTGAAAGGGTCAATAGGAAAATTGGGAAAGTACAAATATGTCCAGATAGTTGTTAATGTTAAAGAATTTATTGAGTAAGATAAGGCTTTGATCTGTTTTTTGGGCTTTTTATTTCTTTGCAATCCTGGGGATCCAACCCAGAGGTGCTCTACCATTGAGCTACATCCCAACCCTCTGCATTATTTATTTTTAAATCATCTAAGTTGCCCAGAACTTAAATTTCTCCTGCCTCAACCTCCCAAATAGCTAAAGATTACAGGCATGAGCCTCTATGCCTGGCTGTTTTGTCCTGTTTTTTAAAGTGATCTTATCTTTTAGAAATTTATAGTGAAATACTATAAATAGTATTTATAGTGGCATGATGATTAGGATGGTCAAGGACAAAGGGACAGGATTAGGGCAAAGTTATCGAAGCAGGGTAAAGGGTAACTGGATATGTGATTCTAGACTCCCTTCTTTGGTATATGTTTGCATTTTCTGATAATAAAATACTCTTGAAAAATACAAGAGTTGAGGTAAAAAATAGAAGATCCCCCCTAAAAAAGAAAGAGAAAAAGAAAGAAAAGACAAAGAAACAGAAAACAGGAGCCAAGGTAACAAAGTACATGGTTTCCAAAATACAAGAAGAGACAAAATGGAAGGGAGAAAATAATCAAAGAAATATGTAATAGGAGAACTATTCCCAATGATGATAGCCATCGGTTGCTGGATTGAGGGGCCAGCTCATAGCCAGCACTGTGGATGGGAAGAGCACACACCAAAGTAAAAGCCTGAAAAATTCCATCACATCAAGGGACTGGGCTTTGACTAATGGAATTGGGAGCTGGACAGGACTGGGCAGCTGGCCTCCTTCCGCTCACCCCTGTGAATCCCGCTGTGCCCTTTCCAGAGCTCCTGTCCCTGAGAATACAGCAGCAGCCAGTCTGGCATCACATCCACCTTCTCAGTCGTTTTTTTCCCTCTCCAGTCTATTAAAAAAAAAAAACTTCCAAGCATAAAGCAAAGTTAAAAGAATTTCACAGCAAGTACCTGCAAAATATCTACTACCTAGAGTTTGTCATTGACACTGACATTTTTATTTATTTATTTGTGTTTGGTTAGCATTGTGGAAGTTTTGCTTTTGTTTTTGTTTTTAGACAGAATCTTGCGATGTAGTTCAGGCTGGCTTTGAACTCACTATTTAGCAGAGGGTGGCCTTGAAATCACAGTGATCCTCCTCTCTCGGCCTTCAAGTATGGGTGTGTGCCACCCCCCCAGCTGACATTGGCACTTTTAGTAGCTTTAATGGAACTATAGTTAAATGCCATAAAATCTACCCATTTCAAGTCTACTGGTTTCTAATATATTCACAAAGTTGTGAAAAAGTCACCACAATCAATTTTAGGACATTTTTTTTCACCCCATAAGAAACTACATATCCTTTTTGGGGGGTGATTGGTACTGGGGATCGAACTCGGGCCCTTGTGCTTGCAAGGCAGGCAGCAGAACCACTGAGTCAAATCCCCGGGCCTATGTATCCTTTAGATATGTTTAGATATCCTTTGTTCCCATTCCTCCCAAAATAACCACTAATCTACTTGCTGTCTCCATGGAATTGTCTATTTTGAACATTTTATATAAATGTAATCATGCAATATACGGTTGCTAGTGACTGACTTCTTTCACTTAACACACTGTTGACAAGTTTATTCCTGTTGTAGCAGGTATCAGTATTTTGGGCTTTTGTATGGCCAAAGAATATGCCATTGTTTACCATTAACATTTCGCCAGATTTACTTGATCACATATCTATCCATCCATTTTATGTCTGTTTTGTATTTCCAAGTCAGCTCACTTCCCTTTTTATCTTAGCATCTTCGGCCTGCACCCGTCTCAAATACCGCTCAGACCCCGTGACTACTCAAAGCGCGAAGGACCTGGGAGCTGGTGTCTTTAACCGTATGTGCTCTCTAGCACATGGAGACAAAGGAAAAGGGAGACTGGAAGTAGGCTTTGCTCCTTTGGAGCATAGAATGCCTCCGTCTCACCCACATCGCCCCTCCAGCCCCTGCTCCCATCATAGAAGCCCATGGATCCTCTGTCTAGAAATACAAATTCCTTAAAGTTCCTTACTCCGTCTCTCGAAAACCCTCATTTGGACAGCCTTCTAGGTGTGATAGATTCTTCCCCATGATTCTGTTTCTTTGTAGCTCTTTAGTGAAATATCCTCCACACACACACACACACACACACACACACACACACACACACGCCCCTCCCTTGTTTCACCCACCATTATGTCATTTATTCTGCTTTATTGAATTAACCTTTTGACCTGTCTGTCTCCACCAGTCTTTAAACCCTCAGGGGTAGGGCCAGGCCTTGTTGTGTCTTGAAATTCCTGGAACTCATTGAGGGTAATAAGTGTTTGCTGGGTAATAAGCGGGAATACCTAGTCCCTGTCTTTGCTGTTGTTTATTTAGCGAACATTTTGCTGGGCATGCACCACGTGAGGCCCTGCAGTAAGGGCCTGGGTTTGGATACAAACATGAGTAACACTATCCTGGGCCTCAGAGACGCCTACGGGACCCTTTAGTCTGGACAAATGCACAACTGGATAAAATGCCAAGACAACAGATGTAAACCGGGACTGTCCCAGGCAAACAGAACATATGGTCACCTCAATTATGTGCCAGCCTGGATGAAAGCAGCAGTGCCACAATGACTCATGCCCAGACTGGTAGCCCCTGGTCCTTTCCAGAATGTTCTTGCTTGGGCCAATTGCTCTTTATTCATGCTTGAATCATTTATGCTTTTTATTGTTGTTATCCAGGTAGAAATTGTCCATGATGGGCCAGGGATTTAGCTCAGAGGTTCCACCGCCTGCCTTGCAAGCGCAAGGGCCCAAGGTGATCCCTGGTACCAAAAAAAAAAAAGAGAGAGAAATTATCCTTGAAATTTCATACTCCTAAAACACATATACTAGGTGCATTTAAAATGGTACACTGTATACTTAAGAACTACACAGAAAGAAAATGGCTTAATGAACACCTGAAACACTTTTGCATGTTTTTTTTTTTTTTTTTTTGATATGGAGGATTGAACACAGGTCTTTATGCTTCCAAGGCAGGCAGCGGAACCACTGAGCTAAATCCCCAGCCCAGTGTTTTTTGATGTACTAAATCATATAGGTTTAATCAGTGTGTGAGAACCATGGTATATTTACATTTCTTAATAAACTGGTTTGTTCTCTTTATTTTTTAATTTTATTGATATACTTTAATGATTACATTCATCATAGGGAGTTTGTACCTGCACATGGTATATCTTTTTTTCTTTTTTTTTTGGTTTTTTGAGACAAGGTCTCACTATGTAGCTCACACTGACGTGGAACTCACTGTGTAGCCCAGGCTGGTCTCGAACTCACAGCGATCTTCCTGCTTCAGCCTCAAAGTGCTGAAATTACAGGCGTGCTCCACCACGCCTGGCCACATGATATATCTTGATTCTTGTTTTTCCCCGTTCCCTCCCCTCCTTTCAACCCTTCTGCCCCTCTTTATTTACAAAAGTTTTGTTTCTATTTTTTCTTTCTGTTCTCTTTCCTTTTCCCTTCCTTCCGTTCCCCATCCCTCCTCATTTGATCCCCTTCTTCCCATTTCACAATATCAATTATGCATCTTTATTCTCTTTATCGATGGTCCTTTGAGTATTTCCAACTTGAGACTGTTATAGAGAATGGAGCGGCAAACATCTCCATACGGATTCTTTTTTCTTTCTTCTGAGTTATTTCTCTGCAGTACACACTCCAAACTTAAACAGCTTGGCTGGAGGACAGGAACACTTTGATAGCTCCTTCTCTATGTCACATTGCTCTACAAAATTCTTTTTTTTTGGTACTGGGCATCGAACTCGGGTCCTTGTGCTTGCGAGGCAGGTGGCAGAACCACTGAGCTAAATCCCCAGCCCCTGCTCTCCTAAAATTCTGCATCAACTTACAGAGCACAGTTGTTTTCCACATCTCTGGCAATCATTTATATTATTTTAATGTACTAATAAAAGCTTATGATCATTTTAGGGTTTTCTTTGTTTGCATTTTCAATTGCAATGAGCTACTTATTGCACTTCAATAAAAAGCAATTATAGTTTTTCTCAAAACATACTGAGAGCCGGGTGTGGTGGGGCACACTTGTAATCTCAGCACTTAGGAGGCTGAGGCAGGAGGATTGCCATGAGTTTGAGGACAGCCTGCACTACATAGTGAGCTCAAGGCCAGCCTGAACTAATAGCAAGACCCCCCCGAAATATATACTTTATAATTACATGGTATATTATAGGTATTCATTAAATATTTGCGAAATTAATGAATTCATTAAAAATCACATTCAATAAATACCACATGATTCTACCTTCAGGAGGTACCTAGAGTAGTCATATTCATAGAGACAGAAGATAGAAGGATGGTTGCCAGAGATGAGGAGAGGGAAAAGTGTTCCAGAGATTGCTTGCACAGCCATGTGAATGTGCTCAATACTACTGAACTGTACACTTACGATGATTATGATGGTAAATTTTATGCCGTGAATTTTATTGCAAAATATATAAATATTTTAACCTATTCATCATTTGGCACGTCTTGTCAATATAAGTGTGCCTGCTCTGTGTGATCTTCCACGTTAAATCCTGGAATTTTCTCAGTTAGAATGCAGTGTTACTCATTCAGTGTGGACACTGACAAGCAAAGATGTGTGATGTTAATGATGACACAGCAAACAGAATAAACGTTACAAACTAGACGATATCGTGTGAACATTCAATATGAATAAGAATGTGCTCAACCTTTAAAAATCTTACATATTTTTCCATGATCTTTGAATTTTAAAAAAGGCAGAGCTAAGGAAGTCTTAGAGATCCATTTGAACTTTTTATCTTTGCTTGCCATTTGGTACAGGGGATCAAACTCAGGACTTCGCCTGCCAGGCTGGACTGTGCCACTGAGCTACATCCCTGGCCCTGAACTTTTCATCTTAAAGATGAGATGATGAGATGAGACATTGATTTTTTTCATTTCAAAATCAGCCCCTTCTACTGTTTCTACGGTCCCTGGCCAATAGCTGTATGTCACAGTGGTCAGAATGGCCCAGATGGCCTCCTTCGGGCTGGAGCAGAGGCTGCTGGGAAGCCCAAACACATGAGAGTGGCCTTAACAAGGAAAGCAAAGTAGAATAAGTGCCGGGTTGGCAACAAGCAGTGTGTGCAGCATTCACCTTAGGGTTCTCTTCTGTTGGCTGTGCTGTGCAGGCTGGGACCAATGGCTACATGGCTCCTGAAATCCCCATGCAGAAGGTGGCTATTCCTACCCTGCGGACTGGTTTGCGATGGGATGCAGCATTTATGAGATGGTGCTGGACGGACACCATTCAGAGATTACAAGGAAAAGGTCAGTAGAGAGGATCTAAAGCACAGACCTCTGAAAGAGGAGGCCATGTTCCAACGTGAGAGCTTCACAGAGGACGCGAAAGACATCTGCAGACTCTTCTTAGAAAAGAAAGCACAGCAACGCTTAGGAAGCAGGTAAATGATGTCAGCATCATGCACAGCAATGACTTTGGATCTGTGGCAAATTTGGGACTTAAGTATTATTATATTCTCGACATTTTCATATAATATTAAATATTTATGATTAAGTATTTCTCTCTCTCTCTTTTTTTTTTTTTTGAGACAGGGTCTCACTATGTAGTTGACACTGACCTGGAACTCACTATGTAGCCCACGCTGGTCTCGAACTCACAGCGATCCTCCTGCCTCAACCAGTGCTAGGATTACAGGCGTGCACCACTACGCCTGGCATGATTAAGTATTTCTAATGCTTTCAAACACTAAGTACTTGAAATAACAAAATCTTCAAAATATAACTTAAAGGGAACAAATGAGATGCAGAACAGCTTTCATTAAAAAAAGAAGGTGCCCAGGCGTGGTGGCGCACGCCTGCAATCCCAGCACTCGGGAGGCTGAGGCAGGAGGATCGCTGTGAGTTTGAGACCAGCCTGGACTACATAGTGAGTTCCAGGTCAGTCTCAGCTACACAGTGAGACCCTGTCTCAAAAAAAAAAAAAAAGAAGGGCTGGGGATTTAGCTCAGTGGTTCTAATACCTGCTTTGAAAGTGCAAGGACCTGAGTTCGATCCCTGGTACCAAAAAACAAAAAAAAACAAAGAAGAAGCAAGAAGGGCTAGGGGTGGTCAAACACTTGCATAGCAGCTCAAAGCCCTGGGTTCCTGTCCTGGTACGAAAAACAAACAACCCAATAAATGGAAAAAAGAATACATAATTCAAATGATTGTACAGACTATTTCAAAGAGATAGAAGGAATTTATAGGTTTGGTCATTTCTGATAAAGGGAAACTGCAGGCTGGTAATGAGCGTAAATAAGGATTTTCATTACATACCTTTATTGTATTCTAAATTTTGAGCTATTTTAATGAAGTATCTATTTGAAAATGAGTGAAATGAAAACTTTAAGTAAAAACTTCAATTTTGCCTCCAGAAAATTATGTCACTTTTTAAAATCCCCCATAAAAGCCGGGAATTTAGCTCAGTGGTCCAGTGGCCTGCCTTGAAGCGCAAGTACCCAAGTTCAATCCCCAGTACCAAAAAATAAATAAATAAATAAAATCTCCCATAAAATACCATCAATTATTCAACAAATATATAGTGAGCTGGGTATGGTGGCACACACCTGTAGCTTTAGGTACTTGGGAAGCTGAGGCAGGAGGATTCCTTGAGCATAGAAGTTCAAGTCCAGGCCAAGGATTTAGCTCAGTGATTCTGGCACCTGCTTCGAAAGTGCAGAGACCCGAGTTCAATCCCCAGTACCAGGAAAAAAAAAAAAAAATGCCGGGTGTGGTACTGCACGCCTGTAATCCCAGCACTCAGGAGGCTGAGGCAGGAGGATAGCTGTGAGTTGGAGACCAGCCTGGGCTACAAAGTGAGTTCCAGGTCAGTCTCAACTACATAGTGAGACTCTTGTCTCAAAAAAACAAAAAATAGAAGTTCAAGTCCAGTCTGGGCAACACAGCAAGACTATATCTCAAAAAACAAAAACAAAAAAATAAATGGGTGACTGCATTACGTAAATCAGTGGCTTTAGATTTACATAGACTCATATGCCTACTTTCCTACAGACTGCTCATTTTACTCCAAGTGAGAGAATCTCTGAGTTTCAGTTTCTTGACATATAAAGTGAGGAATTTGTGGGGGTGATGGTGAGTTTAATGTTAACTTGACTAGGCCACAGGACCCAGATTTTGGTCAAACATAATTCTAAATGTTTCTGGGAAGATCTTTACATGAGATTAATACTTAAATCAGTAGGCACTGAATCAAGACAGCTGACCCTCCACACATAATGTGGGCAAGCTTCCTCCAGTCAAAGGCCTTAAGGGAGAAACCAGCCTCCCCAGAGGAAATCTCTGGTTCACTTCTGGCTCAGAGCATAACTCTTTCCTGGGTCTCCAGTCTGCTGCCAGTGACCCTGCAGACTGGATTGCCAGGTCCAAGTGGGTAGGCCAATTCCTTAAAATCTCTCTCTCTCTCTCTCTCTCTCTCTCTCCCCCCTATATGTATATGCATATCCCATACACACACTGCTGGGGAAGAAAAACTGCCTCTCCTCTCTTTGGTTCAGTACCTAGGGACCTACAAATTAAACTGAGAAAACAAATTAACATGAGAAAAAACAAGTCTTTACCACATATGCGTAGGCAGGAGTTTTTAAAAAACATAAATAAGAGGCAGAATTTGGGGTATATACATGTTAATAGAGGGAGAGGGAGAAAACCACTTATGGGAAAGCACATGACTTTTAGGAAATATAAATGAGCACTTAGAAGGATAGATAGACGATACAATGGCTTTGTGACAATCTGTTTCTTGGCACTAGCCTATTTCCAGGGATGAGTCATTATTTGCTGACTGGGACTCTCCAGGGTGAGGATTTGTGTCAATTGAGTTATTCTGGAAAGCTCTACTTTTAGGCACACGGATGGGGGAGTTCAGAACCTATGTCTCTTATTCTCAAACTCCTTCAATTCAAATAAATTTTGAAACTGGGCATGGTGGCACACACGTGGAATCCCAGCACTCTGGGAGGCTGAGGCAGGAAGATCCCAAGTTTGAGCCCACCCTGAGCAACTCAGTGATTCAGCAAGACTCTTAGAGAGGCAGAAGCAGAGGCAGAGGCAGAGGGAGATTGAGACTGGGGATGTAGCTTAGTTTAAAGGCTCTGGGTTCAATCCTCAGTACCATAAAATAATTTTGATGTAATAACAGCGGCTCATCCCAGATCCCGTCTATGTCCTGTTGGCTCTGTCTCTCCACAGAGCCCTGATAACACAGTAGGACTCTTTGAGTTTCTGATATAATGTAGTTAGTAATTAGTAAGTGATAGTAATTACTCTTCATTTGTCTAAGGAAGATATCAGATAATATTCTGGTTAAACTGTGAGCTTGAGTATCTTAAGTTACTTAGGTTAAATTTTCAAATTCTAATCAGTACGCAAATATACAAGTAGGGGCCAAGGATTTAGCTCAGTGGCACCATGTATGCCTGGCAAGTGCAAGGTCCTAAGTTTAATCCCCAGTACCACACACACACACACACACACACACACACACAAAAAAAAAAACATGTGCTTGGGATGAAGCACAATGGTAGAGCTCTTGCCTAGCATGGGCAAAGCCCTGGATAGATCCCACTACCACAAACATAATACTACATATTTTAATAATGCATAATATATATGTATAATTACACGCACATGCGCGCACATGCACGCACATGCGCGTGCACACACACACATAAATATGAAACCCATAACCACAAAGTACTGATTGGTTTTGAAGGTAACACAAGAACTCACGAACCCAAATTACTATAAACCTTCCAAGCAGGTGACACTGGAAGCTGTCTAAATATAGGATAAAGCTTCTAATTTTTGAACTGATTTTTTTTCTTTTTGTTCAGGGCTGGGGAGCCAACCCCAGCCAGGCCTTACATATGCTAGGCAAGTGCTCTCCCACTGAGATACATCCCCAGCTCCAACCTGACTTTTTGGTAAACAGCCAAACAAAATTCACTTGTAGTAACTTTCAAAACATAACCAATGACCAAACTAACTAGTATTTTGAATTTAGATATGATTCTACGTTATGTAAAATTAAAATATGGAATTGATTTTCCTGTGTAAATTTCAACATCGTATTGGTGAAGTCAAAAATAATCTGTTATGATAACGAGTAAAACCCAAAGTCTAAGCAGCTTAAAACAAAACGGACACAGAGTCTCATTCCTCCAATGTCAGTCCTGGGTCCAGCACTCTCGAGGGCACTGGCCTTCCCAGCAGTGACCCAGAGACCGAGGTTGCTCCTTCCATCTTCTGTTCTGTGAGACCTGGGACTTGCTGTCACTGTGCCGGGAAGTGGGACGGCGGAGAGGACTTGTAGGGCTTCCCCTGTCTCCGCTGTGAAGTGCCACACTCCATACATCACTCCACACATGTCTGTCTCAGATCTGAGGGTGAAGGAGCTGCTAGTGTCTGTCCTCTTTGTGCCCAGGAAGGAGAGATGACCCAGATATGCTGGCCGATGACAGTTGCCAGTTCCTAACAATCTCTTCGGCCCTGGCTGTGGAGGTCAGGAAGTCTCCTGGGTCACACAAACAGTGGCTCACAGTCCCATTGGATGACTTCCTTGAAGTCACACCACCCCCTTGGATGCCTCAATCCACAAGTTTGATTCAAAACCTATCTCAATCAGTCAGTCCGTTTTTTTTTTATTTTATTTTTGTTTTTTGTTTTGGTACCAGGGATCGAACTTGGGTCCTTGCACTTGCAAGGCAGCGGAACCACTGAGCTAAATCCCCGGTCCTATTTATTTATTTTAGCATGCTGAGGTTGGGCCCACGGCCTTCTCACTGAGCTACAGCCCATTTTTAATGTTTTGAGTCAAGGTTTTGCTACTTTGCCCAAGCTGGCCTTAAACCAGTGATCTTCCTGCCTTCCAGCGTGCTGGGGTTACAGGCGTGCATGCTTCGTTCAGCTCTATTTGATACTTTAAATGCACACTTGGGTCTTATACGACGGAATACTGACATTTCAGGAAAATGTCACCTTCAAGCACTGGATCTTTGCCAGAAGCTCCTTCACTAGGTGGAGCCCATGAATAAAGCATCTGTTGTGAATTTTTTGAGTAAAAATGTTTACAGCATCACAGAAGAGGCATATAAGAAACAGCTGTTTGGTGAAAGACAAAGTTTTCCCAAAGTTTTCGTGCTAATTCTCTATATTTTTTTAAAAAACTCGCTGAAATGAGATAACGTGTGCTATACATAGTGGTGTCCCCCAAAACCAAGACAGACGCCCAGACAGCATATTACACGGTGGAGAGAACAGCTCCCTTCCCTCCTGCATTCACAGGTTTTTGGAAGGCACCCAACTCTTCTCCTTTAGCATCACTGAAAAGGATTTTCGTCTTTGCTTTCACCACTGTGGAAGTTAATCTGGCAGAGAAGTCAAAAGCTTTTCAGAGCATCTCACAGTCTCCAGACAGGTTCAACTATGATGTTTTCCAATAAAATCAAAGGTGAAGACCTCTTAGGGTTTTTGCAGGTTTTAGTCTGATCCATTAGTTCAGCAGAACAATAGCAAATAGCAGTGTAAGTCCGTGATTTCAATGCCAACACTTCCGTTGTAGGTATGCTGGCAGCAGACCAAATCCCATGGTGCGGTCCTCACTCATGGACAGGTAGTATCTTTGTTTCATTGACAGCTCCAAGAAATCCACCATCATCTCTGTCTAGGGCTCCATAACACAAGAGTCTCTGCTCACACCCTGAAATATATTCTACTCCAACAAGCAGAAGTCCTAGCAGCTGCCTGTTTCCATGTTATGAAAGGTGTTGTCTTTGACAGCCTCTCCTATTGTCCAAAGTGTCAGTGTAGAGACCAAAATGACTAGCTTTTCAATGGCCCAGACACCAGGATTAGGAGTAGAAACTGGGAAGCCTGACCATCACGTGGCATCAACAACCGTAATTTTCATGGGAAAAGTATGACAGAGGTCCTGTCCCCCAGGGGCATATAGTTAGGTGGAGAACATAAAGGAGACTTCAAAGTGTCCTGTGATTCCCTCCTGTTGTACAATTACCTGCAAAAGTACTGTGCTCACCCACCCCTGAAGGGCTCACCAGGGACACCTGAGCTTGGTTGGCTTGGGACGCTGTCTGAGAACTGCATCCTGACACAAAGAGTTACCAAGCTCCAGACACTCTCCATTTATCCGTGTAAAAGCTGCGCTGAGTGAATTCCAAGGGCCGTCTTGACCCAGGGGCAGTGTGTTGTTGTCTGCTGGCAGTTGCACAGGTGGTACAAATTCCTTCTTTGTGGCAGCTGGTCCTGTTCCAAATCATTCTCTTTGAGACATACAGGTCTAGGGTTCTTTCCCGATCTACTTGGATAAAACCTTTATCTTTCAGCCACATTACAAATCCATGTGGCCTTGCATGTGGCACACACCTATAATCCTAGCACTCGGGAGGCTGAGACAAGAGGATCACTGAGAGTTGGAAGCCAGTCTAAAATACATAATGAGTTCAGGGCCAGCCTGGACTACACAGTGAGACCCTGTCTCAAAATAAACACTCCGTCTGATACTCCAGAAAGCTGAATGTTACTATGTAAATTATACCCCATGGTATAAACTGATTTTTTAAAATCTAATTTTAAAGCTTCAATTTATCATAGTAACTCTCTCTTCTCAAGGATCTTACTCCAAAGATACAAGTCACACAATTACCAGATCAGTACGTTCTGGTAAATGGCAAGCCTACACATTCTCCATTTTTCAATTGATGGGAACTTGGTGGCTTTTGGGTGAAAAGAGACACCTTGCACTGCCACCCGCACTCCCGTGCAGCTTTCCAGACACAGTGGGCAATGCCCAGCAAGTCCTGGGTGGCTCTGTGGGAAGCAAGGCCTCAGTCACAGAGCAACATCCAGGAAAATGGCTGAGTGCACATCAGGCGCCTCTAGCTGAATTTTTCTCTTCCATGCTAAAATCTGATTACAATCTTTCCTTCAAAAAATTCACCAATATCCTCTGTCTTCCTCGGGTACATGGCTATTTATGAGTGCAGAAGCAAGTTTAAAAAAAAAAAAAACCACAGGCATTAGAAGCAGACAGGGCTATTGTCTTCTGGTTCAATACAGTAGTGGAAGTGAAGAGCTTAACCTTGTGTGACCAGGACCAGATCCTGATAAACGTCAGCGGCTGTCACTCTTGCCATTATTAGCAGCTTCATGATTGAGCCTCACCTCTTGTCATCTTCCCAAGCAGAGTCTGCTGCAGTTGACATCTGACATGGTAAGGGGTCTTAGGGAAATGTGGGAGAAGCCCTCAATCCGTTCCCAAAACCTTTTTTGATATCTGGAATGGAAACATGTAAAAAGAGAGACCATGAATATAATTTGTGTTAAGGTAGATTTATGACAGCAATCGATTTCTTCCAAAAGGAAGACATCGCTTAGTCAGACCAGGAAATGTATTCACATAGAAGAAAAAAAACTCATCTTTAATCGAGTGCCACATAACAGCCCATTTTTATTTTGTTAAAGCCTGGATTTAAGAGGACCCTAAGATGGTCCCCAAAGCTCCCCATCCCCTGACATTCGTACCTGCATAATCTCTTCACCATAGCTGCGGGCTGGACTTACTCTTCTAGTACACAGAATCCAGCAGAGGTGATGCGATATCAATTCCAAGATCCGGTTACAAAGACCGTGGCTCTTATCTTAGGCTCTTTCTTCGTCTTTTCTCTCTTCTTTCCCCCTCCCCCTCCTTTCTCCGCTGAACCCTCATCCTTTGCCGTTGAGAAAGCAGCTGCAATGTCATGAGGCAGCCCTGTGGAGAGGCTCATGTGGCAACAGAAGGAACCTTACCAATAACCACGAGTGGGTTTGAAAGCAGACACCTTGACCCAGTTGAACCTTCAGATGTCACCACAGCCATGGCCAACAGCTTTTTTGCTTTGTTTTGAGTGTTAGGGGTTGAACCCAAGGAGGACAGAGCTATATCCCTAACCCCTACTCCACCCCCCTTTTCTTTTTTTGGTACCGGGGACCAAACTCAGGACCTTGAGCTTGTGAGGCAGGCAGCGGTACCACTGAGCTAAATCCCCAGCCCCTGACTCACATTTTTTTAAAGCAAGGTTTCAAATTGCTCAGGCTGGCCTCAAGTTTGCAATTCTCCTGCCTGAGTAGCTTGGATTATAGGCATGTGCCACCATGCCCAGCCATGGCCAACATTTTCACTGTAACTTTACAAGAGACCTTAAGCCAGAGACACCTAAGCCATATTCAGATTCTTTATTCATAGGAACTGAGATAATAAATTTTTTTAAGCCACTAAATCTGGGGTTAGATTTTTTACACAAGAGACAGTTAATATAAGAGGTTTTACAATTGGGAAGATTCTTTTTTTCCCTCATTCTAAGGCAGATACTAGAATAATTTCAAGCAAAGGGAAGGAAGGTTTCATCATAATAACCATAGTCTCCAGTACCAAATGTCTTTTCATTTATATTATTGCAAATTACTAATGGATTTGGTTTAGTTCCCCACCCCTTTTTTGCTTTTCCTAACTCTTTAAAGAAATACCACCAAAATTATTGTGGGATTTGGGCAAGTGAGTGAGACTCCTAGAAATTATGTCATCTTTCAAATAAGGAGATATAGGTGCTGTCTTTTAAGTTTTTTCGGTACAGGGGATTGAACTTGGGTCCTTGCACTTGTGAGGCAGGCACCGGAACCACTGAGCTAAATCCCCAGCCCAAGGTGCTGTCTTTTAAAACGTGAATAGAAATTGGGCATGGTAGAACATCCCTGTAATCCTAGCACTCAGGAGGCTGAGCCAGCAGGACTATAAATTCAAGGCCAGTTTGGGCTATAGATAGAGACTTTGTCGCAAAAAATCAGTCAGCCATTAAAGTGTAAGTGGGCATTGTATAGGAAAGGACACGCTCATCTTACTCCATGTGACCCTGAAAGGGTAGTGACTAGAAGCTGCGGTCACAAGTGGCCTCCTTGAACTTCCCTGGTGTCCCTTGAAACACCAAGAATAAACATCATATCAAACGCTTGACTCTTTAAAAGTCACATCTACAAGTGAAGGCTATCTGCAGACAATGAAAATGCCACTGCCTGTGGATAGTGTAATTATTGTTATTATTTTTCAAAGTTGTTCTTTTTGTCTTTAAAGTGTCTTTGCAATGAAAATCAGATGCATGATGAAAAAGGTTGCTGCACACTCTGTATTGTTAGAACACTTTTCCAGTTGTTAACTATTTCTGGCCGACCTTCTCTTTCCTTCACAGAAAAGACTCTGACGATCCCAGGAAACACCCTTTCTTCAAAACCATCAACTTTCCCCGACTGGAAGCTGGCCTAGTTGAGCCTCCATTTGTACCAGACCCTTCTGTGGTTTACACCAAAGATATTGATGAAATCGATGATTTCTCTGAGGGGCGGGGGGTGGAATTGGATGACACAGATGAGAAGTTCTTCAGCAGATTTGCAACAGGTGCTGTCCCCAACGCGTGGCAGGAAGAAATCCTAGAGTCAGGGCTGTTTGAGGAACTGAATGATCCCAACCAGCCAGCAGGTTACGGGAAGGGTAATTCATCTAAGTCTGGAGTGTGCTTGTTATTGTGAATGGTCCCCCTACCAGCCCAAGTCTCAGCTGACGTGGTCGGCAAATGTTTCCAGCAGTGCTGAAGGAAGCTGTGAATTTAGAGGAGACATCTCAGCCACAGAACAGCCACAAGGGCGGGTGGGAGGCCTGGTCACTAACGCGTTTTCTTTTTATTTTCTTTCTTCCTTTATTTTTCCCTCATAAAATTTAGTAAAGTCTCAGTTTTCAGCAAGGGCTGGGAAAAGGAACAGGCAGGTTTATTTTGATAAACTGAAAGCATGAGCCCTCCACCATCGTGTCTCGGAATTACACAAAGTCCTAGGAAAGGAGGGTGGAACTCGGTGGTGTACCTGGAAAGTGAGCGTTTGCAGCTCTTAGTAAATAATCATTTTAGTTTAGTTTTTCATCTTTGTATTTTTCTTCTCTTCGTCTTTCAGTATTTCTTCTCTTTCTGTACTTACAGAAGGATTTTGAAGCTAGAAATTCCCGATGTTCCCCCCTTAAAAGGAGTGGTTTGTAATACTTTGGTAATATTTCAGATTACAGAGTAATTTTCAGTTTCACTGACAGTTTCTTTTTCATTTTGGGGAGGGAAATAATGTATCATCATATTGCTGAAACTTTTTTTTTTTGGCAATACTGGGGACTGAACCTAGGGTCTTTGCACAGGGGAATAGCCCCAGCCCTTTTGTATTTTTTATTTTGAAATAGGGCCTCACTAAGTCACTAAATTGTCCTGACTGGGCTTTAACTTGCAATCCTCCTGCCAGCCTCCCAGAAGGCTGGGATTATAGGTGTGCACCACCACACCCAGCTGTTGAAGCATTATAAATACAAATATACATGAAATCTATGATTATAGTAGAGTATTCTATAAATTTGGTTGGGTATTTTAAGTAATATGCTATAAATTGCTTATATGTGCAATTACATCTGCCATCTGCCATCAGATCCTAAATGCTGCTGAAATTTGGGATCACTTAGGGATCTTTCAGTAAATAGGGAAGGAAGGAGGAGGTGAAGGGAGGGCGGGGGTGCAGGGGAAAAATGAGAATCAAGACCTGTCATGTAGAGGTAAAAGATCCCAATGATGAATGTAACGGTACTGTATACCTAAAATGTACCGGTAAACTCAATGAGGGAATAAATTTTTTTAAAAAAAAAGAAGAAGCAGAGCTTGAGATGTCAAAGGAAAAAAAAAGTACTAATGGCTGGGCTGGGGATTTAGCTCAGTGGTGGCACCACCTGCCTCAAAAGCGCAAGGTCCTGAGTTCGATCCCTGGTACCTTAAAAAAAGAACTCATGCCTGACTCCTACCCCCACATATACTGATCCATACCCCACATATGGGGTAAATTGGTTATTTAGAGTTGCCAGAGCTCCCCAGGTGATTCAGAGTGAATCACCAGAGTGATTCAGAGATCCCTTGCCTGACTCCTACCCCCACATATACTGATCCATACCCCACATATGGGGTAAATTGGTTATTTACAGTTGCCAGAGCTCCCCAGGTGATTCTAACGTACAGCGAAGTTTGGTAGGTACCACCCTATATATTTACATCTTATTACATATAGGTCTTGTGTTAGTCAGCTTTGCCGTGCTGTGATGAAATACTTGAGATAATCAGTTTAAGAAGAGAAAGTGCTACCCATGTTTATAGCAGCACAGTTTACAATAGGTAAATATTGGAAATAGCCCAAATGCCCATCAACTGACAAATGAACAAAGACGTGGTTTTTTTACACAACAGATTACTATTCTGCCACAAAGAAAGATGAATCTAAACCGGGTATGGTGGCACACACCTGTAATCCCAGCACTCAGGAGGCTGAGGCAGGAAGATCGCTGTGAGTTTGAGACCAGCCTGGGCTACATACTGAGTTCTAGGTCAGTGTCAACTACATAGTGAGACCCTGTCTCAAAAAACCAAAGACCAAAAACAACAATAACAAAAAAGAAAGATGAGCTTCAGACATTTATAGCTACATGGATGGACCTTGAGACCATACTCTTAAGTGAAATAAACTGGACACACGTGTTTAAATACTGCATTGTTTCTCTGGTGTGAACCAAAAATGAAAATGATGACTAAAACGTATAAAAGACATTGGGAAATGAGAAGAAAATGTTCAAATGGGAAGAGGAACAAGGGAGAAGGATGAGAGAAAGGAAAGAAGGGACAAGAAGAAAGAGAAAATAGAAGGAAAACATGGAAACAAAGCTTTTGTACATAGGAAGAGGAAGGGCTGGAGGGGAGGGGATAGGAAAAGAGAGGTAAGATGGTTCATGTACGGTACAAATTCTCTATGACGAGTGGCACCATTATGTATGCCTAAAATGCACCAAGAAATGTTTTGCTATTTTAAAAATAAATCCATAGAAAAGCTTTTAAAGGAGAGAGAGAGAGAAGAGGTGTTTATTTTGGCTCACAGTTTTGGAGGTTTTGTCCTTGGCTGGTTGGCTCCACTGTTTCTGGGCTTGGGGGGCGGCAGTACGTTGCAGTGGGATTTTGCATAGCACAGGAAGCTCCTTGCCTCACGGCCCCTGGGAAGCAAAAGGGGAGGAAGAGGAGGGACCTGGGTCTCCAAATCCCTTCTGGAGCGTGCCCCCAGTGACCTCATTTTCTTTCTCCAGGCCCCACCTCCTAAACGTTCCACTGCCTCCCAGTGTTGCCACAACCCAAGGACCAAGCTTTCAATATACTGGCTTTTAGAGGACCCTTGTCCAATGCCATAGCAGCTCCTTATTTTGCTTGCTCAAAACTTCAGTCATACATTTTGATAGTGATTTTTCAAACATTAAAAAAAGCAATGTAATTTTGGCAATTGCAGCATAAATGAAACTGAAGAGAATCTGTATGCATCTTGGAGATTCTCTTGTCCGTGTACCTTTTAGTTCTTCACGCATAACATAGAAAGCAGACCTCACGGTTAGTTTGAGGCCTGAGTAGGTACATGGCCTTGAACAATGAAGGGTCTCACTTCAAGTGCCCAGCCAGCTCTGTATTGTAGAGTTAGCACTTCGCAAAGGCACAGCCAAAGTGAGAGTTATAAGGCTGAAATAAACAGTTGGGACACAAATGTAAATCTGGATCATACTTTAAATTATATAGCCATTTGATTCTTGACAAAGGAGCCAAAGATACCCATTTATGGAAAGACAGCCTCTTCAACAACTGGTGCTGGGAAAACCATGTATAGATCTGATCTCTAGTCCTGTACAAAAATCAATCTAAGATGGATCAAAGACCTAGGTGTAAGACCTGAAACTTCAAAACTGCTAGGGAAAAACTCTGGAAGCCATAGGCCCAGTCAAAGACTTTCTCAATAGGGCTCCAATAGCTCAGGAAATAATAGCAATAATCAACAAATAGGACTGGATCAAATTTAAAAGTTTCTTCAAAACATGGGAAACAACTAACAGAGTAAAGAGACGAACTACAGGAAGGGCTGTGTTAGCTACTCTTCCAACAGAGGGTTAATATCTAGAATATATAAAGCAATCAAAAATCTAGCACCAAAAAATTAAGTAGTCCAATCAATAAATGGGTAAATAAATACAAAAAACAATAGATGCTGGTAAACACTCCACATTGTTGGTGGGGATGTGAACTGGTACAGCTCCTATGGAAATCAGCGTAGAGGTTTTTCAAAAAGCTAAAAGTAGAACCACTGTTTGATTCAGCTGTGCAACTCCTTGGTTTAGAGTCACAAAAGTAAAGTCAGTATAGTGCAGGGACACTCACATTCCAGTGTTCACTGTGGCACAATTCACAATAGCTAAGACATGGAGTTACCCTCATGTCCATCAACAAGTAAACAGCTAAAGAAAATGTGATATACATATATTTTCATATATATTCATTTATAAAGAAGGACAAAATTTTGCCATATGGAGGAAAATGAATGGATCATATTAAGCAAAATAAGCCAGACTCAAAAAAAGCCAGTCTGAGTTTTTTTGTTTTTTGTTTTTTGTTCCAGGGATTGAAGTCAGGTCCTTGCGCTTGCAAGGCAGGCAAGGGCACCACTCAGCTAAATCCCCAGCCTCAAAAGACAAATACTGAATGTTCTCCCTAATTGTGAAATCTAGAAAAAGATGACATGACACCAGAAGAGAGACTAGAGGAAGAGAATAAGGGGGATGGGGTATGAGCAAAATAATTACATGCATTGAAACCTAAATCCACAGCCAAGGATCTGCTCAGCCTCAGGCACTGCGTGGTGGGGTGCGGAGCGGCACTTTGGCTGGACTGTAGTGTGGTGGGGGTGGGGCAGTGGGACCGAGGCCTCCGTTCAGACTGCAGGACAAGGCTCTTGAACATCCCCGGTCCCCCAGTGATCTGTGATTGTAGGGCTGGGGTGCTTTCTGGGGAGTGCAGGGCAAACCATTCTGTCAGATACTTAGATGACCCAGGCATGGGGTGGGCAGGAAGTACACCAAAGATAGCAGTAGAGGAGCACTGGCTAGTCCTGATTCTGACTGACCAGGCTGGAAATGAGAGGCTCGGGCAGCCCTCCCAGCCTGCACGATGATAGGATTCTTCGCGGCCCCTGACAGAAGTCCCCCATCTCAACAGCTCACTGTGTCTATCTGTGCTGCCTGCTGACCCGTTCAGGTCTCCCTGGCCTTCTCCATGGAGAAAATGAGACTTAGAGAAGAAGATGAGCTTTGGCTTGATCAACGCTCCTCTGGGCTGCAAAGACTGAAGCCCCCAACCTACTTACCACCTTTTATTCTGTAGGTCCCCAGACACAAACGTAACGAGTGACTCAGCTCAGTACACAGGGAGAAACAGATGTAATAGGTGACTGGGGGTGGGGTGGAAATCCCAGAACAAAGAGGATCCACGCAGATGAAGATTTTGTCCCTCCCAGGATGTCTTCAGCTGGTGCAGTCTTGTCCTGGAGCATCACAGCATCACCGGACCATGGAGGTCCTAGCTGTGACTGGAGGCTAAAATGGAGCCATGTCTCCAAGGCCAGAGCCAGCCTATAGGCAGGAGAATTTTTTCTACCTTTCCTGCATAATAAGCTAATTTGCCTTGTGCTGTTGTGGCTCACAGGAGACTAGAACTTACTGGAGAGGTTCTAGAAACTTCCTCTTTCCCTGTTCCCTACAAAGAAAGGGAGGGAGGGAGGGAAGAGAAAGAACTGAAGACAATGTATGTAAAGCCCACAGTGCATGCTTCATATACAGCCAGGCATAATCACCTGAAGATGGTGGCCACTAAGTAACATGAGGTTAAAAGGGAATAGGGCCTGGGATTTAGCTCGGCGGTTCGGTGTCCTGCCTTGCAAGTGCAAAGACGCGAGTTCAATCCCCGGTACCAAGAAAAAAAAAAAACAAGGGAATGATTCTGGGTCAGAGGACAAAGCCAGAGAGGCTGAAACAGCCCACCTTAATGAAAATGTTGAGAGGAAATGAGAAAACAACGATGAATGGATCCTTGGGAGGGGTTCAGAGGAAAGTTTTCATACACAATGAAAGACAAATTTTAGTTAGAATAGCTGGGGACACTGGAGCCAGAGGCAACTCTCGGGCATCATTGTCATCGTCTGCCTGGCTGGGAGCCCCATGGGCCAAGTCAGACGGAGAACGTGGCAGGGCACAGCAAGGGGCAGGGCTGAGGGGGAGCCTGAATGTCAGAGATGGAGAGAAATAAGCACATGCACAGAGCCGGGTGCAGGCTGTGAGAGAGACTCAGGCAAAGGCTTAAGTGGTGTGGCCAGATGTCCCATCGAAAGAAGGAAATGATCAGGACCAGGGGTCTAACTCAGTGGCACAGTGCCTGCCTTGCAAGCTCAAGGTCCTGAGTTCGATCCCTGCTACTGCAAAAAAAAAAAGAAGAAGAAGAGGAAGAAGAAGGAACTGATTACTGAACGGGGATGATATTGCTTATTTTTTAAAAAGTAAAAATGAGCTTATGTTTTTATAGAAAAGTTCAATAAACATGATGAAACACCAGAGGAAACAAAGACACAGATGAGTCAAATATTCAAACAAAGAAAACCCAAGGAAAAGGCATTTTTCCTCTTCTAGTTTGGTAGAGATTATTTTGAACGTTTCTTAAACAGGACAATGGGTGTTGTTGTTTTGGTTTGATTTGGTTTGGTTGTTGTGTTTGTTTGTTTGTTTGTTTGTTTGTTTGCAGTACTGAGAATCAAACCATGGGCCTTGTGCATGCTAAGCATAGGCTGTATCTCTGGTTTTGAAAAGACAGATGTGATGAACTGCTCGAAGGAATTTAGAACGGCCCTGCAAAGCAGGACCTATGAATGATATTTCCATAGGAAATACTGATAAGTGACTTGCGATCCTCTTGCCTCGGCTTCCTGAGTGTTGGGATCACAGGCCTCTACCACCATGTGTGGCTTTTCTACTTCCCATATTTCACCACATTTTCTGCAGTGAATATGTCTTCCTTTCTGAAGTTCGGGGGAAAATTATTGCATAAAACAAGATGAGAGTCATCATACCTGGAGTAGGCAGTGACTCCAGCCGTAACCAGCCCCCAGGAGCCCTCCCGCCATCCCCACCACCAAGGGTGCACACTGAGTACCGGGAATAAGGACAGGACTCCAGGTCAGCCAGCAGCCTGGCTGAACACCCAGCCGTTGGTGCCTACGGCCAGACCAGATCAGACCTTACACTGCCTGGGTGGGGGTGAAGCTTTTACCAAAACCCGGAGAAATAAAGGAAAAGACAATGCACCAAGCTTTTCACAAACTTTAAAATGGCTTCTTTTATGCATAGCTAAAAAACAATGGGGTTTTTTTTTAATATAGTTAATATTTGACAAAAGTGAACATTAGAGGCCATAGCTATCCGTTAAAAATATTTTTTAAATTTTACTGACTCATGAAATCTCAGTATATGGGAACTCTTCAGCTGGAAACATATTATAATTATAGGGAAACATGCAAGCTTCAATAGAAAGCTATGTATTGTCCAGAGAAGGCCTAATCTGCTCTTAGTAGGAAACCAGTCATTTGGATTTGGGCCCACCATAACGACCTCCTTTCAAGTTAATTTTTTCTTTAGAGAGCCCATCTCCAAATACAACCATGTTCTGAAGTACTGTGGATTAGGACTTCAACATACGAATTTTGAGGGATACAATTCCACCCACAACACCCCCTAAGCCAATTTCATGACCATTTGTTCATTCATTTTAGCATTCCTTTACTCCATATAAATTTGTGATTTTTTCCACTTATTTGAGCTTACTGTAATATTACCAGTTTCCTCATTACTGAGTTAAGTATTTATTTAGCATGGGTTCATTTTTATTTCTGTGTGACAGTCACAATTGTATCTTTATTTGAGGAATATCTATCTAGTAACACAACTCAGAGTATCACAATGGTACCAAGGAATCTGAGGCTTATTTTTGAAATTCTGATTCCATTAGTAAAAGTTCTCCGTGAAAATCCTCCTTCCTGTGTTGTCTTACGAAGCTCACACACAAACCCCTAAACAGAGGAGGGCTGGTAGGGTGGCAGTGACCCCAGGAGGCAGCTAGCCTGTCCCTGGGAGTCTGG